GCGCGCGCGCGCGCGCGCGCGCGCACATACACACACACACACACATACACACACACACATCAAGCAGAAATACACTGTATAGCAGCTGTTGTTTTCAGTCGATCTTTTCTTTTTGGTTCGAAACAATTCGAGTTTTTATTCAATAAATGGACCGAAATAACTTGAGTTTCAGACTCCCAATACGGCTGGCGGATCTACGTTGAATTAGGTACTCTGTCATCCGTGAGAACATCGAAGGACGACAGGCCGAGGAAAGACAGTGTATTTTACGCTACAGAGAAGCTAAGACGACGAGCAGGCAAGCGCTGGTAATTTTCCTCGCTGTCTTGCGTTCTCTGTTTGAGCCAACATGACCGGAAAATATTACTCGCGCTTGTTTGCTCGAACTAGCTTTTTATTTCTTTTTCGAAAAATTGCACCTTGAAGACGTAATTTGTAAAAAGCTGAACGTACCATTGTCTCCCAAAAAAATTTGCCTGTCCGCGAAACATCTCAAACATTAAAATACATTAAAACTTAAAGTAGAAATTGTAGTGCATCGTAGTTTGTCTTCTTTTTCAGAGTTACTACAACCCGAACCAGAAGAGCCCATAAAGGTATAGTATAATAAGAAAAGTCTTCAATCCAAACCATCAGGAACAGACAATAAGAATTTTTCGGCCGAATAAATAGAGCAAATTATGAACTTCAGAATTTGCTACTGCGTGGAAAGATTAAGGGAAACAGAAGTAGAGGAAGACAGAGACCAAAGTACGTAGACGGTCTGAACAGCTTTCTGATTAACAACACAATCAGAAAAAAAAACCCCGATGATTCGGAGTACGGATAACACGAAGGGATGGGACACCCTGATCGGCAATGTCTGCTCGAAACCTGACACCCAATGAAAAATAAGAACATAACCCAATTTACGTCCATGCTTCCACTCATTTCTCGACAAGATTTTACTCCCTTTAGGACACAGGTAAGGTCAGTTTGAAAGTGGAACTCACAATTTCCTGGTAACTGCACCATACTGAACGTGAAAAATATTCCAGGAAAGACCAGAAAACGTACCTTCCATATTTGGAATCACATTTGGAATTCATGCGTATACTCCGAGCTCGATCATTCATAAAAACCCCAATAATTATGGAGAGAAACATGCAGTCTCTAGTACACTTTAACCTACACAAAGGCCTTGAAAATCTTGCATTCTGAGGGAATAAAGAGGAGGGAAAAGTGACAGAGGAAGAACAAGAACTATATACGAAAAGAATACATAACAAGTTTGTGACGGGAAAAAGACAGGATAATACCGAATTTTTAAAGAGCATCCGATCAGAGAAATAAATGTCGAACCATACTCATCGATTCCTGTTTCAAATAATAATGGTACTTGATGGAGAAAAGATGCCCAGTTCGCCCACCATTGTGACAGTAACATGAGATACTACTTTAGAACCAAAAAAACATCCAGCAGGTCAAACTGCCTTTCCACCAGTAGATGATGTAGCCTCTCTGGTTTCATTTTCAGAGCCATTTAGCAGAAGTCTTTGGTCAACAGAGACTGGGCGGTGAAGTTAACCTGTAACGTGGGCGCGAATTTAAGTCCGGGGATCGATGCTCATGCACTGGGAGACCCCCACTCCAGTAGAAGTGGGTAGATGAACAGAACGGTCATAAAAGCAAAGAAGGCAGAAAAGAAGATGAGGGGGCAGGAGAAGACACACGCACTCACATTAAAAAAAACCCACACACAAACAAACAC